TGTGCGTTAGTTAAAGGTTCTTAAAGTTAAGTTCTTGTAGTTTCTATAAAATGAATGATCTCAAAGCATATTCAGTTTCACACAAGACAAACAAGTAATGACGCACATTATGGAAAAGAACTACTTACTCCTCCAGGAAATAAAGTAGTATTTTGTACAAAGTGAATAAGGCGATAAATCGTTCAATTCTTGGAACTTGTTTTGTGGCAGTTACTGATGATTCATATCACTTTCATTGAAATGAAATCTTATAGCTACTATCCTTTATCGATGATTTAATGACTCAGAATTGTAGACGTTGTTGTCAATGAAGATTCTGCTACGCATTTTTGGACAGTTGAGTTGGTAAAACAGTCATCGAGTTCTGATTGTGACGTCACCACAGAGCAAACTTTTCAACACGCATCTTTTAAAATTCTGTTTAGACTATTTAAATTAGAAAATACGTCAATTGTAAGCAACTGTCAACTAAAGGACCTATCATATTCAGCCTTATTGGTTCCCATTCAACACAAAGCCAATATGTATTACACAGTCGAAGTATCGTAGAGGTGTAAATGGCAACTCTACGTTGATGTTACGTGCCTGGCAGCGAGACTCGACCTGTAACTCAAACCTCCGCCCTTCAGTTTGCCAATCCACTCTAATCAGACATTGTTTGAAAAAATAGCACTAGGCCAGTGTGATCATGTTTGTACATTCTCTATGATGCTCAGGCTGTGTAGTACTACTGACAACATACTGTACATCGCACATAGGGGTACAGATCATAACTGAATAAGCATTGAACGTTGAGTAAATGAGCAGTGGCACAGTCACCATCCGTCACTCTCGCCCGCAAATGAACTCAAACGTGAAACCCGTCGGCGTTCAGCGTCAGACCAGACCACGCCATCGCCATCGCAGTCGGCTTTGCCGTAACCGTAATTCAAGGTTACGGCCAATCAACACAAAGAATTTATTTCCTTTTGCCACATACGCGTATTGCTTCACGATAACTTTGAGGTTGAATCATAGAATTCCTAGTAAAGCTGCTATTTAGCGCAACATAGCGATAACGTGTTTTTCCACAACCGTCAGCAAAACTCAAGTTGCAGAAGGCCTCACAAAGTTGATGCATGCTAGGGCCCAATGAAGCTCACGAGAGGAAGCTTCTTAAAAACCAACTCACCAAATTTTCTACCATTTATTCTATAGCGGTTGGGTGTCCCAGAATTAGATGACAATTCTTCTGATGCATCCTTGGAGAACACAAAAGGTGCCCTTAGATGAAATTAACAACCCCTACAGGACGCTACTGGACATCGGTTTTTCGCAAATGACTTTCTAATGGAAGTGTGTAATTCAAAAATTTTTATTGCATATTATTCAGCTAAGGCGTCGCATGGTGGTGTCCATGAGGAAAAAAATAACTCACTTAGGTTTTCAGGGACAACTGTACGATAATGGTTATAGATGATGATAATAGGTGAAAGAATCGAATTCTTGTTGACCTTGATGGAATCAGCCGTTCTGAGAAAACAATTCTTTTAGACTTTAGTGCCTATCCATGTAGCTTCATCTGACCTCCAAAAAGTTCTAAACAAATCTAAAACTTGCAAAGTCATCTCAAAATGTATGTCCTCAGATTTGTCGGGTCGTTGGTTACGAATCTCTTGTTATAATTCTCAAAATCCCAGAACCATTATCAAAATTGAACGGACTGAAGAAGCAAGATTGTTTTTCTTGAAACTTCGTTTTATCTAAGTTAAACAAGAATCCACTTTTCAGCTTAAAGATAAAGCGTTGTGACAGTTGAGTCGGATTGCATACTTTTTTGTGTTCTACGTTTATGTTGCCTGTTATTCAATGACACCCTGTAGCTTCAATGTCAAGATCAGCCCTGATAGCAAAACATGACGCTGATATAAGTAAGTAGGAGCAGGCACAAATAAAAGGGCAGACAGATTATCACAGGTAATATCATAAGGGCACCTAATTTTTCCGAAAAAATCGAAAGGACACGTTACTGATCGAAGACAAGGATTTGTGCACCCGCACGAACATTTTTTGTTAAAAAAAATATTACTTTGCATTGTTTCTTCGATTTCTTCACAGGAAAAAACGAGATTCACGAATGGTATTTAACAAGACAGATTATTCTGCATACACATAGCTCACCCATAATTACTTATCAAAGGTATTGTAATTGTTGGTGACAACAGCTGCCAAGTTTTGCCGAGGGTAAACTTAAAAATATTGCTGACGGGTGCTGCAATTTTTCCATCTAGAAACATTGTAATTTATAATTGCGCGTTTGTGATTGGTAGAAATTAAGACGAGGGAAATAGGTCATGCTAAAAAGTCAAAAGCATTTTGCACCTTCCCAGAAGTTCATATTTTCAACACATACTGAAACTGGAAAAAAAGTCGCTAAAAAAAGAACACCTCCCAAAACCAGGACGATTTATCCCAGCACGAACAGCGGTAGCAGCGTGTCTTTAATAGATCCTAAACGTTTACGTAATGCCATCGGGCCGTGAATAAAATTACAACGTGGGAATCTTTCCCGGCAACAGCCGCTAAACGATCAAGATTCTCAACTTGAAAAATAATCGCGACGCGACGGGATCTACTCGAGTGAGCTCATTGAGGGAAGAAGAGAGGAAACGTAAACGGAACAGAAAAATAGGTTTGAAAAGTGGCCGGTGTTCGGATATCCGCTATTTCAATCACGGGGTTGTTCAATTACGGGATACGCTAATGCTAACTCTGGCTATTTTAGGTTGACTTATGTGACAAGGTAGCTTGATAAGATTACTAGTCATTTTATTGGAAAATCGTTTATATCGTAGGCTGAAAATGGTGCCAAAAGTTATGTACCGAGTTGAAGATGTTTCAACATTTTATTTTTTATAACTTATTCGACTGCATTAGCGTGCGATGTCACTTTCCGCATTTGTTAGAAAAATAACTATTTTCTGCCACCGTGCGGAAAGAATTCACTTTCAACACGCATCTGCTTGCAGAAAGTTGTACTTTTCTGCACGCATGCAAGTTTTAATAATCCAAATAACTGTTCTTTTACTTGTAATATTACTAATAATTCTTATAAATGAATGTTGTTGTTATTGCTGATGATGTTGATTTTACAATTATTAAATTTCTAATAAAATATATTAAAATTCTGGGCTTATTATTTTCTCGCGCCACGCTGTTAGAAAAAATCGTATACCTAACACTTGCGGAAAGTGTATTTTCCGCCCTTGACGGCTTGCCCGAACTCCGCTTCGCGTCATGTCACTTTCCGCCTTTGTTAGATAAATAACGATTTCCTACCAGGATGCTGGAAAGCGCCACTTTCCTCATGCATTAAGCTTGGAAAGTGTTACTTTTCCGCACGGCATGCGGCAGCATTCAGAATGCGACAGCTTCATTTAATTTATGTTGACAATGATATATGAACAATGATTAAATTTTACACCACACACTTATCATGTAAAAACCCTATAAAATGTCAAAAAAACCTATATTATGTCATCTTGCAGACTAGGTAGTTTTTAGGGCGCAAACAGTCACTACACGTTTGCTCACTAGGATCACTGTGAACGTCCATCTATGGAGGAATCACTCAACTAAACTGCATGCATTATTGGTTGCATATGTTTTGTGAGACCGAGTGGTCCATGTCTGTAGTTTTTATCTCTGAGAAGTTTTTTTTTATACTCCAACTACCACGAAGGCCTAAGGCCTAAGCACCCATTGGGTACCGTGGGGCTATAGGGGGATACATGGGAAAGGGGGGACGCCACGCGGACTCTGGCGAGGGAACACGTGTGCATGCAACATGCACACATTCTGGCTCCGCCTACGAGATCCGCCGGGTGGTACCTCCGCGTTCGACAGTCAGAGACCGTCTACCACCTACGGACAATCACAACATCCATAGCCAAGAGAAAAATTCCTCCTGGAACGGGACTCGAACCCGCACAGCGCACGGCGGCTGATCAGGAGACCGAAGAGTCTACTACTGCGGCCACCGCTGCTGCCTGAAGTTGGTTGAATAGCAAGATCGCATCTGGATGATCATGTGTATTGGTCTGCATGGGTATAAAATCAGTGATATTTGCTGTGTGGTGTGAAAATAATTACTGAATATGCTGCCAATGAAGTATGTCTATTAGCTGTGCCCGGCGGGTTATTTATATGTTGTGCTTTCTGAAGAGAGGTTATGTTCAAAGTTATAAATTACGGGAAATCAACGCGCCCGCGTTGTGTGTAATTACTGTTAGCATGTATATGGCTTGTAATTCGACAGTGTACAGTGAATATAATTATTTCTTATCTCTCTCATTTTTGAAATTCAGCAAATTTGTATATGTAATTTCCAGAATGAATAAGAAAAAAAGGCTGCGCAACTAATTTCTAACTTTGAATCTCAATTAAGTGTAATTGAGACAAACAACTTACAGCTTAGACCTCCAGTAATGCCATCTCTGAAGCAGATTTTGCATCACATCAGACCCAAACATTGATAACTGAAGCCTCATGACGTTTAGGCAGCACGTACAACTAAGTGCTAAGTTGACATCTTGTAGAAAAACCTACATGATGTCAAAAAAAACAGTATAATGTAAAAAAAATCCTTATAACGTCACTGTTCAAGATACATGATACCCGTGCCGGTGACATTTCTACTTTTCCTAACTTTCAGCACACTGGTAGAAAAAACGTTGTCCCTAACTCTTGCGGCCGGTATCACTTTCCACACTTGTTAGGAAAATAACTATTCCTCAATTCGTAGGTGTTATGAAATTTTCCTTTATACTCTTGCAAATACACTAAGCATTTCATTAGCAATTAGTTAGCATACTTCAACACTTACTACAACTTCTCATAACCATTAGACATTGCGGCATTCTGGTACCTTAAGGCTAATTTGGGGGTATGCACTCAAGTCGTTACCTCTTAAGTGTTTGAAACATCTGGGTAGGGAGATAAGGCACAAACTTCAAACTAACCTGCAATGGAATAATGGAGAGTAAGCACATTCGTTGTCAAACAGACCAGCCAATTAGCGGAGTTAGGGCGGATTTGCAGTTCTTGAAGAAGTTTACTTTGTATTGCTCTCATTAGTTCTTTTCTCTTTTTGACCCCTATGCGAGCTTCTAAAAAGATCAACACTTACTAAATATCCAAGTGGACGTAAGTGACAATAATCAAAACAACAGATCAACAAATATATCGTCGGACATCTGACAATACCTGATATATGCAGGAACCGTAATTTTACAGGGGACGAAAAAAACCTTATCAATTTTATACTACCGGCCTTAAGACTCTACAAATTTGGTCACAAAAAATAAATGACGTTTAACACATATTTAATGCGTTCATATCTAAATGAAGCTCTAATTGTCAAAATTAGTCCGGATAGCTGACATTTCTGCTAACTTGCCTTGCAGTTAGCAGATATTGTACTATGATGCATAGATCGATTTAGTGAGATTCGTGTTAGAACTGTTATTCATTATATCAAATTAAAAGTGTGATGTTTTTACAAATCAAAAAGAAATAGCATTCTCAGTTACACCTTAAATGAACGTTAAGCTTCCTTCCTTGGCATATGGCAAATCGTCGTAAAACATGTGACAGTCCTTAGATACAACACTTATAATCTGAAATGACGGGTAGCTGTTTGGTCTCATAGGCAACTCCTGAGGTTCTACACTGAAGTCTAGTTTCACTTCAGTTTTTCCATCGGGATTATAACATAGTTCTTTGATGTCCGTGACTACATTGTCCCTGCCTGGTCTAATTGTTGAGTATCGCTGCACCTCTGTTCGAGAGTAGTCCTTGAAGAAGTCATAACTCAATTGGATTGCCTCATATGGCTCTGGCTTTGTCCTAGCTTCTTTTGACGCCTTAACATAGTCATTTGGTAATTCAATAACTCTATTTCTCAGTTTTCTTTAAATGCAACTGTGTACAGAGTTACATTCCATTTGGGTGTGTCCTTTGGTGATATATTTCTGAGAAATCACAACGTCGTGTTTTATTGCAAAGTTAAGAAAAATAGCACGCGTAATTGTCAGATAGCTGGAATTGCATCTGATTGACATACGTGTTTCCAGTGGTAGGTATTGTTTTGTCTGAATAATTCAAAAGCTAAATTTTTCTGCAGTTAGCGGACTCTATCACAATGTGCGCTGTAGGTAGACGAAGAAAAATGTGCATATACCTCTAATTGGGCAAAAATGTCACATAGTAGGTATTGTCAAATGTCCGACGATATATCCTACTACCTAAATTTCATTTGATTTTTGATAAACATGTAGCCTTTATACTCCGATACATAGACGTCCTTTTCATATCTCCTAGCTTATGATATTTTAAAACACTGCTAAGAGTCGAAATGCGAGCAATATTGCAAAGTTGATTGAAAAAAAAAAACACGATTGGTGCCAGCCAACGAATTCGGACCAGGTGAAAGGGTAGACATGCGATTTGTTTTTGATCCACCTCATTGGATCGGGATCAAGCCTCCATTTTGACATTTGTCACTCTACACGTTAAATTCGTGAACATGTGAAAGTATATGTATTTCCATACCTAGATTTCCAGACAGTTGCCAAGAATGATAAATGTTTTTATGAATACTCATCCTAGTTGCGAAATAACATCTACATCAAAATTGGGATTCTACCTGGACATTGAAGATAGTTTTGATTATTTTATTACAGTTGCTTGTTCGCGTGCTGAATCCCAATTTAAGATTTGCTTTATACCTAACAACACAGACAACTGCAACACATTTGAGACAAACCAAAAACTTAAATTTTAACTGTGGGTCTTAATTAATTTTGTCTATGCAGCAACTAGACGAGCAATATTTCTGGCCCAGCCGTAACGGCCAGCAAATTGTGTAATTTTTTCCTACATTTCGGCGATAGTATATTTTTTTGGTGATATCGTTATTCTATTGCTTTCTAATGATAAGTTCAAAATGACATCTTCTACGGAGGATCTCAAAAACCAATTATCCTATGTAAAAATGTGATAGGAGCAGTTTTGTAGGGAATTAAATTCTTTATGACTTTGCTTCTGCTAAAATTTGTTGTATAGTCAAGTGGTTACTAGATATTTAAGGGTAAAGGTACATTTGTTGATATTTTCGCACATAACCTAAACTAACAACCTCAAAATATAAAGACTACTATACTGTTTGCAAAGAATAAAATTTCCTACAAAAAAATCTGTCACGTTTTTTCGACAACTTGATGTTTAGTTCATGGCTCGAATATATCAGTTATATCTCGACAATATTGTCTGGAATGTGTAGGCACACACGGTCAGAATTTCTCTACAGAATGACTATAAAATCAGGCAAGAATGACTGACCAAATTGTACGCATAGGTAGGATTCAAATAATTTGGCAATCCGATAGTGCCACATGAATATAGGTCGGAAATGTTAAAAGATATAGTCGAGATAAAACATTTCCCGTTTAGAAGCAACATAAGAATCTAAAATTTCTTGGGAAAGGTCTTTACGCTTTTTCATTTTAGCGGCACGAGATTCTGTTCAGAAACCTCAGCACGTTCCAAAAATATATCAAAATAGTTCAATCACTTCTACATATTTTCATTAGTTATAATTGGATAATCCACATCGCAACTCAGATATGATTTTTGGTGGACCTATTGGTTTGTGGCTTTGGTAGGTATTGTAGCAAATCTACCCAAAAGTTTGCACTAAATCTACGTTTTGTTGGCGACAAACATTGCCTTGAAGATATACACCTATATAGGCTTAGCTGCTCCTAACCCATTCGAATTCGTTGGTGCCAACATTGTGCGAATACAGTGAGAGGCTGACTGGCAGAAGGCGCGTTGATTGCATGATCGACATGATGACTGTATATTTTGTATATCATTAAACGTACCCTTTGGTTGAGGTTACAGTACCACTAAAGCTTAGCTTTGGACCTTAACCAAATATGTTGTTGATGCAAAATTTTGTGATATAATCTTCTAGATTAGACTTTTGTCTACTAACAATGTGAACTATAGTTCTTTGCACGGTTTTTGGTGGTTACGCCAGTGATGCCGTACGAAATAGGTAAGCAAATCTACTAAGTGGATCCTTTGGGAAATTTCACACTGAAGAAAACGGTCTTAAACGCAGCTACTCTCGCACACATGAATTAGTTAATAAAGGACCATTGCCATCAATCACTTTTTCAAAATACTCCAATAAATTTGACAAAAACTGTCGGTATTGTTTCTTAGCTGTATTTTTAGATACTGCTATGTTTTATATTACGAAGATAAATAAAAGGTAAACTCAAAATCCTACGCCCATGTCAAGTGAGATCTCATACTGACAGGAATACTCATACGTTGGAGAGAAAATGTTTGAGGTGGCGAGACGAAATCAAAGGACGTATGTCTGGGCTTGTGAGGGAGATGGATGTATAAAAGCGATACCAGTAGTTTTACCCCGCCAAAAATCATGAAATGAACTACATTTTAATATGGCTGGTTCTTTGGAGTAGCTTCGCATTTGAACCTTAACAGCTTGTATACGCCTTTACCTTACAGCGCAGCGTACCCTCTGCTGGTTTGACCTTCAGATTGTTTGACAAATTATTTTATAGACCAAGGCGCATTGCTGGCTCTGTTAACCTCTCCATATAAGTATAGTGGATGGTACTACACACTACCTTCTTGACAATTTGTCCCATACAACTTCCGATTTTGTTAGCTAGTTTTGAAGCCACCTAACAACAAATGGTATGTTGTAAAATCATTATCCGGAATGAAAAGCGTTTATATTTGATTTGATCAATTTTAGCCCATTGAGAGCACGTGATAAATTCGCTGTGAAATTATTAAATTATTCCTAGCTTACTTTGGTCGAACCAATTATATATCCGTGCCCACAAATGCAACACGTTTCCTAAATGACTTGCATTTAACGTAAGTGAGGAATTCAGGTGCCACTCAGCGAATATCTGATACAGGACAGTCACCGTAGTTAAAACTCACAACTCAAAAAAGGTCTCTAGAAGCTAAAGCGCAAATTTTTTTTAACAAAAATTAACAATCGCTCAAACTTCGTTCTTTGATGTTTCAGAGGCTCCGGGGGTTGTAGGGAGTGGGGGAAGGTATAGTTTATTTTTTTGGCGGCTTCCAAATCCAGAAATTTTTGCACCTATCAGTATATGTTTCACACAACAGATTCCCCGTACATTTTTGCCCTTATAACTTGAAGAAATATTTATGCGATGCAACGGCGACTGTCGCCTGCCTTGCGACTGAGAGCATCGCCGGCAATAATACCACTAAAAATTGCCAATAGCCAATCGAATTCTTCAAATGGTTGGTACTGTTATCATTCTGGATGCTATCAGACTACAGAGTATCAAAGTCAGACATCAGAATGGTTTTTCATTAAAATTTAGACTTTGGTATGATTTTTGTTTTCTCGCTGTCTTAAGATAAAATATACTGGATGGAGTGAAAACCCGGTTTAAAGTAGTTGTTATTTATAGAAATGACAGCGGATGAACTGCAGGCAAGCTAGTTTTTCAACAAAAAAATTAAATGCTGAAAATCTCGAGAACCATAAGAATTTTGATAAATCATGACCTATTCGCAGTTGCTAAATTATTTTATATACATTTTTTGCTAGTCTACGGCTGCGGCTTCAAATAAAGGTCGTATTATTACCAGTATTATAATTGTACGTAAAACTAGCTGCGACGAAAACGTGAAAAGCTCATTTGTTTTTTTCTGTGAAGTACCTTTGAGCTCAACATCTCTAGCCTGCATCTTTGTTTTGTTGCCATTTTCACTTGCCTATGAGCGGAAATGAGTTGCTCATTTTGCGATTGGCCGCGGTCTGTTCTAATATAAATATTATTTAATTCCGATTACACACGGTCTATGTATTAATTCCTGTCGGTTAAAACAATTGGCGCTTATTACCTTTCATGTCTGTTTACCAGCACCATGGAGGGAAATCAATTCGTATTGAATAAATTAGAATGTAGGTACACAGTGCGATAAGGAATTATTATTGGTTTGGTGTACGGTGTGTTGTTCTGCGGCATCACTTTTTAATAGCTTTCATCCAACAACAGAGGCTGGCGCATACAGGGTAATTCAGTATGAACTTCGGAGTTAAAAAAAAAGTAAGACAAAATTCTCTTCGAATGTGTATCTAAAATCAATAGACAGTGAGAGGAATTATCACAAATTACATTGAATAGCTCATACCCAACATCAATTTTCCGATTGCCTAACTTTTTGTTTTTGGCTTCTCTATCCAATAATCAGATGCTACATTCAAGAACAAAATATCTGGAATAATGTTGAGTCTTCAATAGATTTTCGCCACTACGGCCAAAAGCGACTAGCATCTCGTCAAACATGCAGAAGCGTCACTTAAGGCTACTTAACTCTTTCTACTTGTTACGCCACTCGTGAGGAAGTATTGTAGATATGCGAAATATTTCGAAAATAAGATACGTTTTTTAGATGCTTTATGATATATTTTTTTGTTAATTACTCGTATAAATTATCAATTTCACCATAGAAATAATCTTATTCCGTTAGATCACTTATATCAAACTAGAAACAAAATTAACAACATTAAGCAAACACCTTTCACCTCAAAAAGTATACGCCAAAGATGTCATACTTACCTTTCCAGTAGATTATATAACATATTACCAATTTATATAAGATATATTTCAAATGCAAAATTGAAACCAAAAAATTTATATTTGAAAAAAATCGGCATCAAATTGCAAACATGATACGTATGAAAGAAATTTGAAACTAATGTAGTAGTAAAAAACTTCCAACGTCCATAATATATATGTGTGTGTATATGTATATACCTATGTGTATATATGTATGTGTGTATGTATGTGTATGTGCATCTATTTATGTCAGGGTATCAGGATTACTCAGAGAGATGCGTAGGAGGTACAGAGTTAACCTACTTGACGTAAGTTTTTGTAACCTTGCCTCCTAAATACTGATTTATAAAAATATATCTTTCATCACAGTGTATTTCTAGTCAAATTTCGAAAATCTTACTTTGGAAATAGGTAAGCGACTTCACAATCTCAGTTGTCTCGTCTGTGAGGTTGGATTTGAACGTTCATAGTAATAGGGTATAAACTTTTTATTGAACACAAATAATATTTATGAATTGGTCACTGTCAGCCTGACCTTTCTCACATGAACTCAAAATAATTTAACAATAACCCATCTTGTTTTGTTGAAGATATTCTTATATTTATATCATTTTAGATATACTAGAGATTTACTGAATATTGCTAATAACTTCATTGTACTTCTCTACAATCTAAAAAAAGAAGGAAAAACCATCGACACTCTACATCTAGTATCATCAACCCCTAGCCTAGTAGCAGAAAACAAGATGTTCCAATAACAAACAAGTATTGCTTTAATATGATCAGCAAATTGCCTTTTCAGGATCTCCTTGAAGAAATCCGCATTTGTCGTAGAACCCGTGAAATTACAACCGCAACCATTCGACAGTCAATTAGCCGTCCCCTTCTTTCTCCCCCTCTTTCCCTCGATGCGGCGACTGAACTGTAATGTTGCCAGACTGTGCAATTCTCTTTTATTCTCTCATCTATTTGGTATAAGTAAACTTAGAATGGGTTCTTCCTATCGCTAACTTATTTCTTTGATCGTATTTGCATTTCCTCCTGTAACACCAACGCCGGCAAACTTCATTCTTCCTACCTTCGGGAGTACCACAAAAAAGCTTCTTATGGTCTCTGCCACGGCTCACAGTGGAAGCTGGAAAAAATATAATTCATACTGCATTTATACGATAGTCAAAGTAAGTCTTGGATTAGAGTCCCGGCCCATGTCAGCACGGTTTTTGCGGTCTTTGAGTCCTAATTCTGATTAGTTTGTCCCTTGGAACACATTTCAGTGTTATTTAAAGGCCGTCAGTCGTTCCTATAATAATTGTAGGACGTCGTTATGGCCTCCTTCATTTTCATAGTTATTTACTTTTCCGTGACAGCGCTCTATTTTGAGATTATGTTGCTTATATCTATTTTCATCAAATTGTTCATGCTTTTCATTTATATCATCTGTTATAGCAGCCTGAAAATTCCAACAATTCAAAAAGAAAACATAGCCTTGCAATAGGATAGCGCCGAAGTTGACACGGAACAGTAGAAATCTAGAAACACCGCAGCCTTTCTGGAGGTGAGAAAAGGCTATAAGGCGTCCTACAATAAATTGTAAAAACGACTGACGATACGAAGTTGATCAACCAATCCTGACCACCTGCCATAATATGCTATGATGATGTAAGACTTCATTTCTCGATATCTCGTAAAAGTTAGCAAGAACTGACTTTAGATTCTATCTCTAGCAGTACTCAGGGTTCACAAAAATGGCTAATCTCACTTTGGATGAACGGCGGAACTTTATTAAAAACTTCTCTGAATAATATTATCATAAAAACTAAGAGTAAAAGTAGCAATCCGTTCAAGTCACGATTTACATGAAAACAACAACAATGACAGTTTTTTATTGCATCAGATGAAAGTTCTTACCCGCCTTGTTATAATCCATACCTACTCCTATGTCCAAAATTTACACAACCCTGAATTTTGTCATGAAAGGTAGAGTAGTAATAAAAAACTTCAAGTTTGATAGTATGCCTCTGAAAAATAGCGCGAGAGAACTTTTGTTTCCATGGCCAACTTATAATTTGAGGTATATTAATTTTAGTAATGAATTGAGTTTTTTTTATTTTTATAGATATTACAGTTACTGTAGCGACACTACGTTCAATATACTGTCGTACTTTCAATTCATTGTAGCCACGTGGGCCCAGATGCTCGTGTTACCTAGGACAACACGTCACACGTTTCATTATCACGCAAAATAGGCTGGATATTGCAGTTAAAGTACAAATCTTTAGATAATCCCGGAACGATCCTCTCGTCAAACTTTAGTACCGTCGAAGGGCAAAAACGACATTAAAAGAACGGTATTTGAAGCACAGTTAACCTGAGATTTGAAAACTGTACCTAAGGGGTATTTTGAAATCTACCACATTTTCATGGCACATACATATGGAAAAAATGGCGTAGAAAATAAAGCAAAATCTTATTCTGCTAATAGTTACGAATACAAGAAATACCTATCCGGTAATATTTGTAAGCATGGGCTACAACAATATGAAATCATCAAGACTAATAGCATAGACTTCACTTATTCAAAAAAATCAGCATTGATGACAGGTTTTAATGCAAATTGTAGGAATATTCACATGCTAAATTTACAACTTTTATAAACAACTTTACAGGTGGACAACGTTTTGGATTGTTTTTGAGGTTATCCGATTGGTACTACATTTTAGCTTCATGAATAAAAAGGAAATAATTACGGAAAAGTGTAAATCTGGCAACGCCTCCTCTTAGTGCCCTTTCATCCGCCGTCGTCGTCGACACGACACCGCTATCAACCTTCATAATGGAGTAATTTTAACAGAAATAAGATTATAAATTGAAAGACATTTTAAATTTGCATTTAAATCAGTATTCGTGTAATCGAGTACGGGCGAACTACGCTGAGCTGAGTTGCGGCGGCTTTCAGGAATAAAAGAGTTTTCCTCTGTCGTGTTGGCTCATTCGGCTTTTCTTTCGCCGCCGCGAAGCTCTGACAGACCTTTCACTTTCTACTGCAAAAGACGATAGATAGCTCGCAACCTGATGGGGATGCTCCCCATGCTCCGCCATTCATCTACAGATGATCATTTAATGAATGCCTTTGACAGTAACATATGTTAAGATATAGTAATAGATGCTGGTGTCGAGTTCGAAGTATGTAGGGTAGTGATGTTAATATTGTAGCTACCGGGCGCAACGAATTCTTGTATGTATACATTGCATTGTTTGTCGCCGAATTTGCGTTGTTTCAGTACCCACTTCTGATTCATTTGCCTACCAATGCCTACCAAAGTGACAGCGTTGTATTAACACAATAATAATACTTACCGGTGAAAACGTATACCTTCAATGGACTTGTGCTGCTCTATGCAAAACTATGTAGGAAGTACCATATCTTGAAATTTTCTAATATCACTGTTATGTACAAACACGTTTTGTATTCGAAACTTTCGAAAAAACGCTGAGGAACGCTTACTCCGCCATAAAGCGCCATCTAGCGGCCACATGCCGAAAACGGATGGATCGAAAATAAAATTCAAATTGTTTAAAATCAATCAAATGTGATCAAGTCTGCCGCTAACGAGGATTGTCAAAACTGGCGTTCGGATCCCTTCAGTTTGTTCCAAACCTAAATTTTGATACACATGATGTATTCGATTCATAGTCAGATTTTATAGCACATAGTGGCTTTCTTGATTGTATCATAGTACAGGGTTAGCTCGAATTCTTCGAATGTACAGATTGTGAGTACCTTATTTTGTCAGTGAATTAGCCCAGAAGACGCTAAAAGATAATCCGGATCTTCAGGAAATTCTGAGTACATCAAAAGATTCCAAGAATAGTGCTCAATGTCTTATTCAGGAAAAAAATCTCATATATCGAAAAATGTCCCCTTTTTAAAATAAAAATTTTGACATAATCAAAAATAAAATACACATTAACGCTGATATAGTAGGTACACTTATAAACAGGACTGTATTTATTTTATCATTAATTGAAAATAAGCAATAAGTTTAGTTGTAATTGTAAAAAATAATTACTAGTGATTCCCTTGGGCCTGCTTTGCCGATCAGAGCTTGTCGAAACAAGGTTTATTATTTGAAATAGACACACGGAGTTCTTCTTCTATATGTAGCTGCGATCTATATTTGGTCTTCAAAGCAGCTACCGCCGAAAATCCTGTTTCGCAACGGTAGGATGTTGAAAATAGTAGTAGTATACGAAACGCTCTGGTTATCAGTGCCGAAAACTCACCACTCACGCCTGTCCAAAATTCAAAGAGGGATTCATTATTAAACTGTTTTTTGATTTTGCCGTCAAGTCTATGAAGATTTCTGCTTCGGCAGTTGAGAGCCCTTCGGGAGTAATTTGAAACGTATTCCTAACCCACTCGTAACTAAGTATTCATTTGTTGTCGGCAAGAAAATATTTTTTAAAATTATTTGTCAGCATCTCTAAATGATTTTCAATGGGTATGAAAACAACTTTCATGTGTTGTTCTTCAACCGTGTAAGTTTTAAAGCATTCATCCACATTTGCAAACATTTCCGGATTTTTTGCTTTAAATTTCTGCTCCACAATTCCAATTTTCTACAAAAAGAGTTAACTTTATCACTCATATTCAATATAACGTGTGTATTTGCTCCTTGGAGCTGAAGGTTCAAGATATTTAGTTTCTCGAATATTTCGACCAAGTAGCTCAATTTCACCAGAAATAAACCATCTCGAAACATCTCGACTTCCGGTCGGTTTTCTTCTTGTAGAAAAACGACGATTTCATGTCGTAATTCAAAAACACGTTGTAAACATTTCCCACGTGATAACCATCTTTCCTCGCAATAGAATAGTAATGCTGAATGTACTGCACCCATATTTTTACAAAGTGCAGAAAAGATTCTAGTTTTCAAAGGTCTCATTTCTATTTAATTAACAACGGTTACAACCGTAGTTGTAATTAAACAATATTCAGGCAAGAAGACATTTCTTTGGGAGTCAGAACTTCTCTGTGAATCATGCAATGTGTCCAGATGCTCATTGCAGATTTTTATTTTACAGGGGCTTGTATAGGTACTTTCACATCTTCCTGACATTGAACGAGCCCCATCGGAGCATACTCCGATGCAATTCTTCAATGTTTGCCTCGATTATATAATCATTTAATATAGCTTTGAGTTCTATAGGTTTGCAGAAAAATAGTTCTACTACTGATATGCTATCACAAAATCGAACGCAGGCAATAAGATGAGCATCTGTATTGCTGTCCGTTGCATCATCATGCAGAATTGAAAACAACTTGTCTCACAACTTCCCGAGTAGCTGATGCTGTACATCTTCAGCTAAATCACCAATTCGACAGGCAACCGTATCATTTGATAAAGGTTGCTCTAATTTTTTGGCAAAATTATCTCCAAACATAGTTTCTACAATTTTAATTGAAGCTGGCAAACTAAGCTCTTCACCAATAGTATGAGGCTTCTTATATCTGGCTATTTCATATGAAGCTTTATAAGAAGCAAGTAAAGCTTTTCCCTTCAAAGTCAAAGTTTTTTTTTTAAATAATTTTTGCCTTTCGTATGAATTTTAACTCGAAAAATTCTCGGAGTTTGTTAACGTACTCACTATGAAGCGTTTCCAAATGCCGTTTAAGTTTATTAGGTTTGATGCTATCTGCTGCATAAGTTTTTGAGCAAATGATACACAGAGGCCTCTCTTCTTCATTGACTTCAGTACATGTAGACTCAAAATTCAAGTATTCTTGAGAATATTTTTTTGATTTTATTTTTGGAACCTCTTTTGCATTTGTTGATGCTTCACTAGTATCGAATTCTAGCTTACGCCCACCTAAAAATTTATTCATGATTTGGTATAAATTTAAATTTACTGCTGGGGGTATATATATATATATATATATATATATATGTATATATCCTAATATTCTAATACCGTCAACTGCAGTTAACAAGCAAATTACAACATACGCATTCATAATAGATTTAGCACCGACAGAACGATTGAGACTGACCAGAATTGACGAGATGCGGCTTGTATAATACATGTTCGCGTAGACGTACACGGTCGAGAATGTTCGGAATAACACGGAACTTCTCGCTAAAAGAGGCATTGATTCCGGATATCCATATATCCAAATATCCATAAATTTATTTATTCTCGCTAAATTGTAGAATTTGTAATTAAGGTTGTACTGAAAGTTAAGCGTCAAAATACTCAAGGTACATTATTATTGTATACATATGCGGTGAAAATAATTATTGAAAATTGGGTCGCGAATGGTGAAACGTTGAGAAACGCTGATTAGGCTCTTCGGGCTCTCATTTTTTGTTTTTTTTTTTTAAATATCTACTTAGTGCTATCATTGAACAATATTAATCAAAAAGATGAGTACAAATAAATACTTTGCCAGTAATTGCAGTTCCTGCTCAACAACAGGTAAATATGTGTAGTTTTCGTGGTCGACAAGAAATCCATTGAAAGATAGCGGACAATAAAGATATTAGCGCTCTAGGGTGCAATGAAGCACGTAAGCTAATGAAACGCCTAGGGAACTTATTATGGACTTATTTATGCTCTAGGGTGGAAAAAAAGTTTTTACCGACGTAAACTAACGTATGTTGTGCACAATATCGTGATCATGGGAATTGTTTTTATTTGTTGGTCGACCTATATTTTAGCATACTATCTAATGCTAAAACGCTAAAATTTTATATGGCTATCACAGATAAGTCTTCATTTTGCCTAATAGTCGACCAATTTAGTCAGCAGGCCGTAGGTCCAGAGCACTGGACACTTGTCAAGAAGGATTTGCGTCGTTTAGCATTGTCGTGGCTTCGTTGCGATCAGCTCATTGATAGTATTTACGCTTTTGTGCTTTGCTCGTCAATTTTTATCATAACAACTGTTACTGAGGAAATGACACGTTGCCATTTTACAGCGGCGCCCTTAATTAATTTAGAATGGCGTAGTTATGCTTTTTCTGTTTCTTTCATCGAGCCCTTTAATTTGATACCAATATCATAGCGGTTACTATGGAAATGATTAGTCGCCATTTTGTAGCTCCCGTCATTCTAGATTCAGAGTGGCGGTATTCAATTCTTGTGTATTGTCATGACAATCGAACGTCTATATAAAATTTGAGATCAATTCGTAAAAGTTAGCATCATGTCAAGTTAAGTTAAAGCTTGTGAAGAATTGGTGACACCTTTTAGTGATTAACCAACTGTAGTTATTGATCAGTGTTTTGTGCTTGGACAATACCTTCCGTCAAGCTCAGTTCGGTGCCATTCAGGCACCACTATACGCCGGAACCTTTCACGGATAGGCCGGGGCGGGCATGAGATCCCTTGAAGCCCCCTTCGTTGCCAACCAAGGGTTGTTTACGACGGAGCCAGCGTGGCTGTGTCAGGTCGAGTAATCAATCCTTCACCTTTCTGTCCGCATAGCGCACCACCATAATCTAATTAACGGTGCAACTAATAATTTCCTCCTAACAACGCTACTATAATTGGATTTGTTAATCAGAAAGTGCCCCGGGATAATCGCTCGACGTCTATTTCCATACATATTTGTAATTAAAACGGAGTCAAGTGTAACTGATCAGCTAGGCATGAAAGCTTGTCGGGATAATAAACGTAAGATTAAGGACCGATTCCATACAGATTATCGAAATGGCATTTCTTGTAGCTAAAAGAAATGGAGTATTGGGATCCGACACAAAAACTGCGTGGTATAATAAATTGCCGAATTTTATTTGGTTAAAACTAAATCATAGCAACATAGCTCGACGCCATCTGGTCGGTAAGTTGTAATTAAATATTTAAAAATTATTCTTATAGCTCAACGAAATTTTCAATCTTCTGACAAATTGGAATGAGGAAACTTTGGAGGGTTGAACATCCTTTTGAGAACTACCCCATGCGGTTCTGGGCTTTGCTAGTTAAGCGCGGTGCCATCTCAAAATTGTAATGATGGCGTAATCTCAGCTTGTTACAGGACCATTCAAACTATTATAGTAACACGCTGTACATAAATGTGTAAATAAAAGAAAAAAAAACTAGGTGTAGTAGAAGTAGATTAGCAAAATATATTGTCATTTGTACTTGAAAAAGGTCGCCTGTGGAACCGAAACGTCGTACAATAAAGAGGAATTTTAAACATATGTGAGGTTTGATTCCGACAGAAAAATATGGGGGACTATCAGCATAAAAACCAGGATAGGTTTCAGATGTTAATTGGCTACACTGTTGATAGCTTATATAGCCGCTACAAAGACCGAATTTAATGTCAAAAAACCTATAGGCATCAAATTTAACCTGGAATAATCCTTTTATTACTCCTTGCGGAGAATTCTTGAAAGGTACCGAAAATACGCGAAATGTACCTTTTCTCAAAACATCTAAAATTCTTGAAATTTATTAAATACTTCTAAGGAGATCAAAGTGAATCGTTCGTCTATAATATCCTCTCCCTGCCCTTCTCGTAGTACCGTTCATCTAGCAACGTCGCGTCGCCTCTCCAGAATATCTGAAAGAAAAATGCGTCACACGCGGCAGAGCGTTAAGCAGGACACATGCGAATACCGGCACGCCGGCCGCGGCCGTTGAAAGTCAGCAGACACAGGGACTCTTGTCAAAAACAGTTTTCTGTCGTACAAAAAATTTACAGGTGATAAGGATCCTCTGAAACGTCAAAAACGCTTGAGCCATTTTCATCTTTGGCCTTTTTCTCCACCGCCACTGAACCGATTTTCAAAAACTACTAAGCTTTTACGTCCTTTGCATGGGGGGAACCTTGTGATGTACGTGTCACATGATATCCAAAAAATAATAAAATATCTCTTTTTCGAAATTTTTCACGATTATAATACGTAGTCCAGTGTCGCAGGAAGTAAAAATGATACCAGTTGATTGAATTAACGCAATTATAACCACACCCAATAATATCGCTAACTACCCCATTTTGCAGTGTTGTTAGTAAATCACACATACTGATTATGTTTCTCCTATTAACTGGTCTGGAACGGAGAAAGGTGAGCTAGGGACGCTCCCAATCCTACAGCAACAGGCGCGAGAACACGCCAAATAAAAATACCATAAATCCTTGGAGTAATTATCTGCTAGTACATAATTTACTTCTTGCGCGTAGGTAATCATAGACGTACAGACAAACGGACATAATTCTTGAATGCGAAATGACCAGAAGACAAGACATAAATATGGTCCACGTGTGTGAAATTAGTTGTAACCATTAGAGAGTACGCTACTACTTTCAGGTTCTTTCGCTGGGAGGACTCAAAGATGCAAATGCTACATCAAAATTATTATTAAGAAATGCCTAAAATATATATAATGAATTTTGCACATACATAGATAGCTCAGAACCGCAGTTAGCGCTGCCCAAGGCACTTAAAAGATCTTGCGAAAATATTCCAGATCCTATAAAATAATGTTAGTTCGATCAATCATTCCGCAGACTTTGGAACGCGAGTCTACTTTTGTCGTGGAAGCTAACCATAAATGCGAGGAAAATAGGCGTTACCTTATGACACTGACCGTTTGACATGATCTCATTCTATCTGCGTCCAGAAAAAAATTAAATCCTGTCATTGTAGGATTTTCAAACAATTTTCCAACAAAGAATGGGGCTATACCGTATTATCCTTGAAAAGTGATTGCACGAAATTTATTTTGGCTACTTAGTGCAATTTTTTTGAAGCGGAAAATACCTAATTGGTCACAGGCTCCCGTGGAAACATTTTCTTGTTCCGCCCATGTCTGTACACAACCAATTCGCCGTAAATGCCTCAATTTTAATGAGGCAACGTCGCATGATACCGCTTCGGAGCTAACAAATAATACTAATTGCCTCTCGAACATCACCGGTAATTTCGAGAATAGAAATAAGATCATCGATCTATTTCGCGTGATTTAAAGGCCAATTTCTGAGAGATACCTGTTTCGCTCTTTTCTTGCTATGCTCTCACACGACCTCCACGCCAAACTATATCAACTTTTAATGAGCTCAGATTCTATGGGGAAAAGGTCTTTGGGATTTCACTCTCTAATGATGGTGATGCTCGCGGTTCGGGTAGCTTGGTGCAAAATAAACGAGTGGAACAAGGAGGTGTCTTACTTTCCCTCAAGCACACTGTCAACCCTCCTTATTCTTAGCATCATTAAAAGTTGCTCTATTCATCATTATCATCCGCAATGCTTGATATTGGTATGTCTTTTTCATTGCCCGACATGAAAAGGTTAAACAGGTATAAGAGCTGTTTCAATAATAGGCTACTTGACACATATTTATTTTCATAATTTATCCTCATAGTTTTTGGTGTAGGAAAACGAAATATATTGATTTCAGTTTTTAACAGCACGTCATGGATATATTATGTAAACGCAATTTAAAAAAAATAGTTTTTATTTTGGATATGAAACGGCGAAAACAATGTCAGCCATAATGTGACAAATTACAAAGAAAACAACGTCATCCGTATGTCACTCGTCGACTAACGT